AAGGTTAGGGATTTGGGCTCTTAGGAACCTAGTAGCCTCTTGTTTGATGATTGAATTTGTTAACTACAGGCTCTTTTTATCTTATGCCATGTTGATATTTATTTTCACCCTTATTGCTATCTATTAAAGATTAAAAGATGATAGTAAAACTGCAAAAAAGTTGTCTATAATCTCATTAAGGGACCGTAACTCCTATTAGAAGTCGATCCACACATTTAGTTACGTTCAGTTTTGTTCACCTATTTATAAATTTTATCTTACTTATCATGTATGATGCTCACAGCGTATCTCTCTCTATATATATATATTGTATAAAAATAAGGAGATGTGGTATGATTACCAAAGTTCAACTGAAGTGGATGTAAACAATTATAGACAACCGTACGGCATTTAACAACGAGAGAAACCCATACCGTATAGTCGGCTACAAAATGTAGTTGTCAAGATAATACCAAAAACGCAAAACGGGTAACAATGTTCATGTAAGGTCAATATCTTCTATAATGAGCTGATTGACAATTTTAGTAATGTTGACTTTTCGTAGATGTTTCATCCCAGATTCTAATAACTTTTGTCGGAAACTGTTTCTCTCTATCATAATAGTTTCCAAGATAATAAACAAAAACGCAAAATTTTTTAAAAATCGTAGTTCAAGGCAAATAATTGCTTTAAGCAATGATTATCGACCGATAACTTTGATCATTTGACTCATTGGAAGATGTTATTTTGAAGATAATTTTTGCTGTTTGTATTTCCTTTTTATCTGCTACTATATAGTTTTCACCAAAAAAAACGCAAAAAAGAGTAAAACCGCCATTAAAGGACAACAACTCCTACAAGGTCATTTCGAAGGTTTCACTTACTTGTAGATCTTTTTATGTCGATCAGTTTTGCTATATATGAAGTTTCGCAATAAAAATGGTGAAAACCGTCATTCCTATAAAGAATCGACTGACTATTTTTGTCATGTCGATTCTGTTTATAGATTTTGTCTTGCTGGTCAACATCATTATTCAAAAGGATCTTTAAAAGGTAGCTTGGTTGTTGTTGGCTTTATATTCATTGGGCAAATATTTCATGCATGTTCCGGACACAAACAAATTAGTTTATACGTCAAGTACAAAATGTACATAGGTAATGAAAAGTTGGTTTACTGGGGTTGATGACAGGAGAAATGACAGCCACTAGACAAAGAGAGAATGCTTAGCACAAGGTCATGTTTTTCTCTGACTGTTTATGACGTCTTTACACTAAATCCGTTGGATGTTGGATTTGTACTGATTGATAATTTAGTCTTAGATGCATGATTTTTTATATTAGTTGTTATTGGCTTTGAACTAGCTGTCAGTAACTGAGAGTACTCTCAGATCTGTACTTATTGTCTTTTTGTTGTTGGGATGTACAAGTACCCGGTCACGTCCACGTGTTATTGTTATATGTATTTCTATTTGTATCCATCTGGTGAGTTAAGCCTTTTTCAACTGATTTTTATAGTTCGTTCTTCTGTTGTACTGTTACACCACTGTCCCAGGTTAGGGGGAGGGTTGGGATCCCGCTAACATGTTTAACCCCGCCACATTATGTATGTATGTGCCTGTCCCAAGTCAGTGGTTGTCATTTGTTGCTGTGTTACATATTTTTTTCGTTCATTTTTTTGTACATTAATTAGGCCGTTATTTTTCTCAATTGAATTGTTTTACATTTGTGATTTCGGGACCTTTTATAGCTGACTATGCGGTATGGGCTTTGCTCATTGTTGAAGGCCGTACGGTGACCTATAGCCGTTAATTTCTGTGTCATGTGGTCTCTTGTGGAGAGTTGTCTCATTGGCGATCATACCACATCTTCTTTTCCATATTAGGGGCAAAATGCTTTCTTGGAACAGACCATTAACGCAATTTTCAGATTTATTGCCAGGTTTCTTATCAGGGAACTCTTCGTTTAAAGGCATTTCCCCATTTTAATAGAATATACGTTGAAGTTTGATACAATTTACATGTATTTGTCACTATTCTTTAGAGAGTGCTTAGAACTTTTAATGCATTACATTTGATTGGAATTGTCTTGGGTGCGGGATTTTCTCGCGGTGTTGAAGACCCATTGGTGGCCTCGGGCTGTTTTCTGCTCTTTGGTCGGATTGTTGTCTCTTTGACACATTCCCCATTTCCATTCTCAATTTTATTGATCTACCAATAAGGTGAACCAAAAATGAGATAAGAAATAAGACAAAATTTCACCATTTTTAAATTCTTATCGCAATTGAAACCAATATCTATATAAAATAAGGAGATGTGGTATGATTGCTAATGAGACAACTACCCACAAGAGACCAAATGATTATAGATCACCATTTGGCCTCCAACAATAAAAAAACCACACCGCACAGCAAGCTTTAAAAGGCCCCGACTCGACAAAATTAAAACTATTCAAACCAGATAACTAATTACCTGATTTATGAACAAAGCAAAACACAAAAAAAAAACCAAATAAGATATACAGCAACGCTGTGGTATAATATTACAACATAAGAACAAACGATAAAACTCAGTACAGTCTATAAAAATATAAAACTTATTTGTACTCGCTACGAAACAGGAGAAAAGGTCGGCAAGTCTCGTTTTTTTTCTCAGTTTTTAAAGCTTGTACAAATAAATTTTATATTTTCCTACACTGTACGAATATTGTATATCAATGTCTGGCCATTCAAGATTTGTTCTCATAGAGTTATGTGACTGCAATGGTCAAAATCAGCGGGACGGCTTTCGTTGTGCACTTATACTACACGAGTCCCGCGAGAAGTATGGTTCGTACATGATGGGGAATTGCTTGCAGCGTGTAAAAGCGAGGCGAAAGATACTAAAGGGACATTCAAACTCACAAGTCGAAAACAAAATGACAATGCCATGGTAAAAAAACATAAACGACGAAAGACAAACATTTATTTATATAGAAAACTAAAGACTGAGCAACACCAACCCCATTAAAAAACCCGGTTGATTTCAGGTGCTCAGGTAGGGTAAGCAGATCATGCTCAATATGTGGCAAACATTGTGTTGCTCATGTAAGTACACACCTAGTTCGTGGTTTGATTATTTATCTTTTATGCCTTCTCGCTGAGGACTTGTATCAGCTATTTTCCTGAATTTTGGTTTGTCGTCCGTTAATGTTTACATAATCTTTGAAACTTCTGGACCATTTTGAACCAAACTTTGAAGGAATAATGAATCGAGGTTTAGTTTAAAGCATTGTTTTCTTTCTCGTGACAAAACTAGACCACGAGAGAAAACATTTATACGTGGACCAAACTACATTTAAATGTTTTTCCTAGCTAAGTTATTATATATATATATATGCTCTTTGGTCGGGTTGTCTCTTTGACACATTCCCCATTTCCATTCTCAATTTTATATCCCCATTTTCGATAAGGTTACATAAAAGCGCCATCCTATCAATGCAATTGCTTGTTCTGCAAACTGTACATGAAGAGGCTACAATCCATCTTAATATGTCTGAATTATATCACAATAGAATTAAAATGAACGTGCAAATAATAAAATTTTGGTGATTGGAGGTGATGATTATTGACTTTCTTATTTTAATGGTTTTTTCCAGCAGTACGTTTTAAAGATTTTTTAAACATTCTTGACGCTGCATTACAAAATGTGAAGTGACACAGAGAGAACTAATTTGATGAAGAAGCATTTAGAAATACCATTACCCAAGGAGAAGGTGTTAATTGTCTGTATAATGACGGTCCTTTTTTCAAGTGACATTTTCTATTTGATTACCTTTCTTCATGACACAAACTTTCTACAGCGTATTAAAGTTGTTAATCATATGACTCTTGAAAATAAATATAAATGCACAAACATATTTCAAGTGTTATGTCCAACAACTGAATCCCCCGACTAAGAGAGAACAAAAAAGGCCGTATAAACTCGAATCGGATCTTATATAGTACAAAAAAAAAAAACCCAACAAACACAATTGAAAATAAAAGCTTGTTTTAATTGATCGTATATCTGAAGAGCATACAAATATATCACACAGATTTTATCAGTGATTTATTTTTCAATGCCAAGTCGTTGTTACAAATAAACGCCATGCCGACCCCCAGCTAGTTCTTAAGTGTTTCGGTATTTTAAAAATCAGGCTGTTTTACTCTTTTATTATCTACCCCTATCGAACCGTTTTCAACCTAGCATTCCCTTTTCTGTATGGATATCATCTCGTATTCTTGTATAAACATTTCAAAACTTTTTTCATTTATTTTGAGTGGCATTTATACATTACAAATTAAGTGTTGAGATGATATATATGTGTTGTCAATTCCATGATTTGAATCGAATATAGGATTCTTATCAATTATTGAAAAAATGTTTTCATTTTGATATTTAGCGGATTTACTGACTTCTTGATTCAGGGTTTAGTTGCCAGTTTAAAAAACAAACCTGATGAAAACTAACACTTTGTGTTACCAAGATAGAACTTATGTTTTTAATCGATTGTATCGCTGAAAGAAAAAATGCTTCAAAGGACCAATTTTGTTTAAATTCTCCGTCTTAATTGCAAGTTAATTTTGGTAACACTAATATTGCAACTATCGGAGGTAAAATTGACATTAGGTTTAGATGTTCGTTCCATGCACTTAGACCGTTTTGGTTTTATGCTCATTAATGTTTGTTTATTTTGGTTATCACAATTTAAAGACGCGTGCGTACTTGATTAAAATTATTCCAGAAACACGTTTTATATATTTTTCCCTGTTGTTCCGATACCCTCCTAAATTTTATCTTTATAAAAGTCTATTTTAATTTTGTGATACAAATAATTCTTGATCACCATTTAATGTACCTATATCTTACGACGCTTACGACGACACTCTTTTCACAAATAGATATACCATAAATTGTTGCCTCCGTAAAATAAATATATTACTAGTATTTACTTTAAGAAAGATAAAAGCATTCATTTATAGCATTATTCTATTCTTTCTACAGAACAATGGAATTCTTGAACCACAAATGGAAGCTCTGGTACAAATCACTGGATGTGAATCATGATGGAAAAATTTCATTTGCAGATGTCGAGGAATCCCGCAGTAAATTTGCCGAACTACATAAACTTCTTGGCGACAAAGCAAAGGGGGTAAAAATTGACATGGAAGGATGGTGGATCAAATACATCTTGCAGTCTAAGGATGGAGAAATATCTTTGGATCAATTCTTGCAGCGATGTGGGTCAGAATACCAAGCAGATAAAGCAAAATACACTGCAAAGATGACCGAATGTTTCAATGTCCTGTTTGACGTCATAGACACAAATAAAGACAGATCGATTGAACTCAGTGAATATATCATTGCTTTCCAAGCATTTGGCCATGAAAATGAGAACTTGGTACGAAAAAGCTTTGAATTGCTGAATCCCAAAGATGGACTGATACCGCTGAAAGACATAGTTAATTCTTGGATTCAGTTCACAACATCTGATGATCCACACAAGAAAGATGTCGTCAAGGAGTCATTTGAGGAAGGAGTGTAAAATTTTTGGGCGTATAATATGGTGACCCAATACCCAGGTTTTCCTACCTAGAACAACTTAAGTGACCATGTAGAGAAAGAACACGATCGAGTTAGCTGTAAAACCAAGAATGCCACCACGACAAAAGTACCGGTACTTTCTAAAGTTTGTTTTAGGCAAAGTTCGAAAAAAGAAAGAAAAGGAATTGTGACGTCACAGACATCAGGATTTTATCCCCCGTCATTGAGTTGTCCTATGAAATATCCAATAAATCCATTGTCAAACACGGCTTTGTGTTGTATATATATATACAATTCGTCTAAATAACAGCCCAACAATGTTAGATTGGTAAATTTGCGGAAGCAAATTTTTTGTTCTTCCCTGGCCGGGAGGGTGTTATCCTTTTCTCGTCATTTTTTATCTAGCGTCGTAACACAGAACATTATATATAAGGCATGAATATGGAATATTACAGATCAGCTGAATTATCTATCGTAGAGGATCTTACAAATTAATTTAGGACGCAGTCACAGAAATAATTATATTATAGGTTACAATACACCATTAGATTTTATGGGCGCAACATGGTATTCAGAATTAAGAGTATAGCTAATCCTGATTGGTTGATATGTGCGCCCGTTAGTTTTTGTAATTAGAGACTTCGTGCATTCTGCATTATACCAAAGGCCAAATAAATTATTTTCCTTAGCCCTAACGGAACTGAGATGTCTTTTAAACGCTAGGATGAGACACGTATTTTTAAGTGCAAAATTGATAGGCATGGGAGATAAGTACAAATTACGCTAAGAAAAGCAACGCGAACCTATATTTTTTGGACCAAAAAATACTGTCCTAATAACTTTTCTTTAATTCTAGCAAGGTTTCGTTAAAAAAAATCAGCTTTCTAAAGTCTGTATCTCGAAAAAGGCTATCATTGTCGCCTATGGGGAAATTAATTGTTTGTTATAATCTATACAGCGTCGACATTTCTTTATCATAGTGCTCAAAAAGTGTCAAAAACAGTAATTTTACTTGATATTTGATGTGAAACCGTATTTTTTGGTGACAAATGAATTATTGATTAACTAGTTTTTAAGCTATAGTCTGTTTCATATTTGTATAGCGTTTTACCTTAGAAACAAGGGTGTGTTCGACTTTTGACTTACTGTGGAGAGAATATGTCATTTTCTGAACTTCTGCTGATTTGTTTGTAAAAAGCACATACACGTCTAGAGTTTGGATATACAAATCGATTTTTAAACATGACAATCTCGATCCAAGTGCTGTTATCGAAATTACCAAATTCAGTGAAAATGTACAGAAACGATCCCCTTCGAACATTGAAATGTTCACTCGAATGGCAGACTATAAAAATTAGAATAGGCATGACATTTCGTTGTTAACGAATAGTTTTCGATGTTTCAACACAAATATTTACACATTTTTCATATTTTGTAATGCTATAGTCTGTTTCAAAAATGTACTTTTATACGAAAATGGTTTCATTTAAAACTGTTGTTCAAAATTCACTGTAGTAGTTACATATTGGATCGGTTTTGGTATCAATATAATCAGTACTTGATGACATATAAAGAATCATTGGAGAAAGTGGACATTATCTTCAGGCCCTTTTTAGCAGTACCGCATTTACTAAAAAAATCAGAATTTTTTTTTTCACATTTTTTGACTGGGGTTACCTCTGATAAAAAATTGTGAAAATTCAGAGAGTAATGCCAGAACGTTTTGAAGATGATTTTTGTGTGGCATATATATTTATGCATCTAACGAACTATGAATTGCATGATTCTAGAAAGTATTAAATAGCGTATAGGTTACAATACACCATTAGATTTTATGGGCGCAGCCATTTTATGAGCATAACATGGTATTCAGAATTAAGAGTATAGCTAATCCTGATTGGTTGATATGTGCGCCCGTTAGTTTTTGTAATTAGAGACTTCGTGCATTCTGCATTATACCAAAGGCCAAATAAATTATTTTCCTTAGCCCTAACGGAACTGAGATGTCTTTTAAACGCTAGGATGAGACACGTATTTTTAAGTGCAAAATTGATAGGCATGGGAGATAAGTACAAATTACGCTAAGAAAAGCAACGCGAACCTATATTTTTTGGACCAAAAAATACTGTCCTAATAACTTTTCTTTAATTCTAGCAAGGTTTCGTTAAAAAAATCAGCTTTCTAAAGTCTGTATCTCGAAAAAGGCTATCATTGTCGCCTATGGGGAAATTAATTGTTTGTTATAATCTATACAGCGTCGACATTTCTTTATCATAGTGCTCAAAAAGTGTCAAAAACAGTAATTTTACTTGATATTTGATGTGAAACCGTATTTTTTGGTGACAAATGAATTATTGATTAACTAGTTTTTAAGCTATAGTCTGTTTCATATTTGTATAGCGTTTTACCTTAGAAACAAGGGTGTGTTCGACTTTTGACTTACTGTGGAGAGAATATGTCATTTTCTGAACTTCTGCTGATTTGTTTGTAAAAAGCACATACACGTCTAGAGTTTGGATATACAAATCGATTTTTAAACATGACAATCTCGATCCAAGTGCTGTTATCGAAATTACCAAATTCAGTGAAAATGTACAGAAACGATCCCCTTCGAACATTGAAATGTTCACTCGAATGGCAGACTATAAAAATTAGAATAGGCATGACATTTCGTTGTTAACGAATAGTTTTCGATGTTTCAACACAAATATTTACACATTTTTCATATTTTGTAATGCTATAGTCTGTTTCAAAAATGTACTTTTATACGAAAATGGTTTCATTTAAAACTGTTGTTCAAAATTCACTGTAGTAGTTACATATTGGATCGGTTTTGGTATCAATATAATCAGTACTTGATGACATATAAAGAATCATTGGAGAAAGTGGACATTATCTTCAGGCCCTTTTTAGCAGTACCGCATTTACTAAAAAAATCAGAATTTTTTTTTTCACATTTTTTGACTGGGGTTACCTCTGATAAAAAATTGTGAAAATTCAGAGAGTAATGCCAGAACGTTTTGAAGATGATTTTTGTGTGGCATATATATTTATGCATCTAACGAACTATGAATTGCATGATTCTAGAAAGTATTAAATAGCGTATAGGTTACAATACACCATTAGATTTTATGGGCGCAGCCATTTTATGAGCATAACATGGTATTCAGAATTAAGAGTATAGCTAATCCTGATTGGTTGATATGTGCGCCCGTTAGTTTTTGTAATTAGAGACTTCGTGCATTCTGCATTATACCAAAGGCCAAATAAATTATTTTCCTTAGCCCTAACGGAACTGAGATGTCTTTTAAACGCTAGGATGAGACACGTATTTTTAAGTGCAAAATTGATAGGCATGGGAGATAAGTACAAATTACGCTAAGAAAAGCAACGCGAACCTATATTTTTTGGACCAAAAAATACTGTCCTAATAACTTTTCTTTAATTCTAGCAAGGTTTCGTTAAAAAAATCAGCTTTCTAAAGTCTGTATCTCGAAAAAGGCTATCATTGTCGCCTATGGGGAAATTAATTGTTTGTTATAATCTATACAGCGTCGACATTTCTTTATCATAGTGCTCAAAAAGTGTCAAAAACAGTAATTTTACTTGATATTTGATGTGAAACCGTATTTTTTGGTGACAAATGAATTATTGATTAACTAGTTTTTAAGCTATAGTCTGTTTCATATTTGTATAGCGTTTTACCTTAGAAACAAGGGTGTGTTCGACTTTTGACTTACTGTGGAGAGAATATGTCATTTTCTGAACTTCTGCTGATTTGTTTGTAAAAAGCACATACACGTCTAGAGTTTGGATATACAAATCGATTTTTAAACATGACAATCTCGATCCAAGTGCTGTTATCGAAATTACCAAATTCAGTGAAAATGTACAGAAACGATCCCCTTCGAACATTGAAATGTTCACTCGAATGGCAGACTATAAAAATTAGAATAGGCATGACATTTCGTTGTTAACGAATAGTTTTCGATGTTTCAACACAAATATTTACACATTTTTCATATTTTGTAATGCTATAGTCTGTTTCAAAAATGTACTTTTATACGAAAATGGTTTCATTTAAAACTGTTGTTCAAAATTCACTGTAGTAGTTACATATTGGATCGGTTTTGGTATCAATATAATCAGTACTTGATGACATATAAAGAATCATTGGAGAAAGTGGACATTATCTTCAGGCCCTTTTTAGCAGTACCGCATTTACTAAAAAAATCAGAATTTTTTTTTTCACATTTTTTGACTGGGGTTACCTCTGATAAAAAATTGTGAAAATTCAGAGAGTAATGCCAGAACGTTTTGAAGATGATTTTTGTGTGGCATATATATTTATGCATCTAACGAACTATGAATTGCATGATTCTAGAAAGTATTAAATAGCGTATAGGTTACAATACACCATTAGATTTTATGGGCGCAGCCATTTTATGAGCATAACATGGTATTCAGAATTAAGAGTATAGCTAATCCTGATTGGTTGATATGTGCGCCCGTTAGTTTTTGTAATTAGAGACTTCGTGCATTCTGCATTATACCAAAGGCCAAATAAATTATTTTCCTTAGCCCTAACGGAACTGAGATGTCTTTTAAACGCTAGGATGAGACACGTATTTTTAAGTGCAAAATTGATAGGCATGGGAGATAAGTACAAATTACGCTAAGAAAAGCAACGCGAACCTATATTTTTTGGACCAAAAAATACTGTCCTAATAACTTTTCTTTAATTCTAGCAAGGTTTCGTTAAAAAAATCAGCTTTCTAAAGTCTGTATCTCGAAAAAGGCTATCATTGTCGCCTATGGGGAAATTAATTGTTTGTTATAATCTATACAGCGTCGACATTTCTTTATCATAGTGCTCAAAAAGTGTCAAAAACAGTAATTTTACTTGATATTTGATGTGAAACCGTATTTTTTGGTGACAAATGAATTATTGATTAACTAGTTTTTAAGCTATAGTCTGTTTCATATTTGTATAGCGTTTTACCTTAGAAACAAGGGTGTGTTCGACTTTTGACTTACTGTGGAGAGAATATGTCATTTTCTGAACTTCTGCTGATTTGTTTGTAAAAAGCACATACACGTCTAGAGTTTGGATATACAAATCGATTTTTAAACATGACAATCTCGATCCAAGTGCTGTTATCGAAATTACCAAATTCAGTGAAAATGTACAGAAACGATCCCCTTCGAACATTGAAATGTTCACTCGAATGGCAGACTATAAAAATTAGAATAGGCATGACATTTCGT